CGAGATCGTCCTCTTCTGCACCAGAGGAGTATATTTCGTCGTATACTGAAACCAGACACATAAGATTCAACCATAAATCATTAGCACGTTACTTATCAGCAATTAGATCTCCTCGTGTATGTTGAGAATTAAAAGGAGTCATTCAACTGATGTTAGTCGTTGAGCGGGCCCGTTCAAATATGATAATACGAATAGCAAATGAGCTGTCTGTTGAGGTGTTGCGTATGGTGATGAATTGCAGCATTGCAGTCCGACATGGGCGCACGCGCAAAGGTCAAGGTGTCAGGCAACTACACTGAACCAAATTTGTCTGACGACTACTACAGAAAGTGTGTAGAAACATAGATAAGTTAAAAGGGGATAGAAGCCGGCTAGTTAGCGAAGCTCATCAACGCGTCGCCCAGCAACGCTGACGCGGCAATCGGCTGCGTTGCCAATGTGTTAGACCAGTTCCTTGAACTGAGATGCGTTCGGTTTATTTCTATGTCCAAATAATGGTTTTATTTTGAGCATACGCACTTTTGAATTGTGAATTGTGTCGGGTCTGTTTTAGGATCGAAACTTATTGGGCAACCTCCTTACAGTCCAGATCTTGCTCCCTGTGACTTTGCACTGTTCCCGCATGTGAAAATGAAGCTAAAAGGAAAACGGTTTTCTAGCGATGAGGACCATTGACGGCTTGGAAAAGGAATGAGCCGCACTCCCGGGTGAAACTTGGCAGAGCTGGTTTAAGGACTGGTTTTGGTGGATGGTCAAGTGTATTTATTGACTGTGGTGGAAATTACTTTGAATGAAGTCAATAAATAAATCTGTATTGCAAAACTTTTATAGTACACAACCCTTTGTATATATATATGTATATATATACAGGGTGTCCGCAAAGTTGGGGTTTTCCTTTTCAGAAACAACTACCCTTGAAATAACAAAGGTAATGTGTAGTGAAACGAGGGCGACCAAGTAAAAAAAAATAAAGGAAAAAGTACTCACTCTCCAGTTGACGAGAAGGGCTAAGTACGTCTCTGCCTGAAATCATACCGCTCCAACAGAAAATGAAATCAGCTGATGCGCTACCGAGCAGACGCCGGCGGTGGTGCAGACCAGTAGACCACAAACAGAGGTAACAAATATGACCATCGTGCAGAAACCACATTGATTGTCTTACACTTAATGGCACATCTTCTAACAAGGAAGGCAAAATGTTGCGTAAAAAGTCTAGGTATTGCATCCCGGCCAATCGATTTGGGAGAATAAATGGTCCAATGAGCATACCGTTCACCATGCCAGCCCAAACATTCACCCAAAAAGTTTGTTGAAAATGTGCCCGACGGACAGCGTGCGTATTTTCTACTGACCAAACATGAGTGTTGCGAAAGTTATTCACCCCATTACGCGTGAACTTAGATTCGTCTGTCACCAATATGCACTTCAAAAAGTCCGGATTATTGTCATGTTGATGCAACAACCACTCACAAAACCGCACTCTTGCTGGAAAATCATCAGGTTGAAGGGCTTGTACACGTTGGACGTGAAACGGATACAGCCCCTCTTCACGCAGCGTTTGCAACACTTTAGTTTTTGATACTTGCACTTCTCTAGCCACGTCTCTAGTGCTTGTTGTTTTTTGAAACGCAATCGATTATACGGGTTCGTTTACCTCTACACGCGTGACCGTAACCGTCGGTTGAAGGTTGCATACTGACCTGACACACTGACCCCGACCCCCGACCCAGTTCTGTCGTCGGGTTGAGCTAGTGTCCTAGTACCAGTTGGGGATGTCGCGAGTCGCGACTACAGGACGGTATTCAGATATTTTTGATGTTGCAGAGCCCTTTATCTCGGTTCCCTTAAGACATTGGTGTATATGGTACTAAGAAAAATTGCTTATGTTTTCAAGATCTACACGTCGTTTAAAGGAAAACCCCAACTTTGCGGACACCCTGTATATATATATATATATATATATATATCCTTGAATTGCTTAGGCTAGAAAGCAAAGTATTGCAAAAGTACACTCTTATAACTTAAACTCGAGCTTTCGAAGATCTATGTCTTCATCGTCTGGAGCTGGAAACAATTATTGACAATAGCAACAATTAACAATTAGGAGGAAAAATAGTTACTTACTAAGTTGGCGAGATTGTTGCTCAAATTGTTTTTAAACAACAGTGAAGGGTACACATAGTCTACGAATAAAATGTGTTCCCTTCACTATGTTACGGTAGCCTAGACCAACAGGGTATCGAGCACCTTATCAGCACGATGCTCAGGTGTGTTAAAAAGTGTAAAGGACACTGAACATATATGGCAAAAATTATTAAAATCGGATAACCATACGTATGTGTTTACCTTTTTTTGTCACTCGGTGTATTAAATGCTTCTAAAACTATGTGTTAGTAGACATAAAGTATATTCAAGAAGATTATACCTTAAATTCAAATCATGAATGCTTGTTATAAAAGTTAGCTTAGTTCCGTAATCGTCGTGGTGAATGAGCGGCTATAATAAATTTTATAGATGATAAAAATAAATATTTGAACAGGTTATTAATTTCGAGCCATCCTAAATCTTTGATTGGACCAGTTACATGATAATATTTCCTTAGATTTTATTAGTCAAGCGGTAACAGTAATTTGGAATTTTTTGTAGTCTGTAGGCAAACATTTGATTCAAGCAAGTATAATACGTTACATAATCGTTTTTTGTTTTAAAACTGAGGAAGTGGTTTCATTGACCAGATAAACATAGGCGAATATTTTCCTGGGTTATGGCATCAGCGTACCATAAGGATGCCCATGCAATGCGTCGGTTGATTTCCATCTCGCGCCTCTGCTTACTTCGATGCACCGCGGCAGAGCGAGCGCCATCTTACGTAAACGGTTTATAATTACACGGCGGTCTCTTTTGCTCTACAGTCTAATGGTCACCTTTACAAGCCCTTCTCCCATGCCTCGCGTCTCTTCCGAATACTATTATGCTAAACCAACCTCCTTCTCGCGCCTATACGCCTGCTTCGTAAGGAAAAAATGTGCTGCATTCTGCATTGCGCGCGTACTCGAGCCTTGAGGCACACTGTCTCAGCGCTGACTCAGATTTATGGCCGGTGGGTGGGAGGCTTAAGAGATTCTCACCGCGGTTTATTTGCAGCCCATAGTAGCATATTTTTACAGCGATATTTTTACTTCCTGTGCCAAAGGGGAAGTGCGAAGTGGAAGCAAGTATCGTAATCGAATTTGAGATATGTTTTTTGGATGTTATACGACATGTACAGGGTGGCCAACTAGGAGTGCGAGATACTGTATTTGGGAACATATATCAAGTTGCTAACTACGTTTTTGCCAACAATATCATCCCCCCTAGACAGTCAGAGTTTAGAACCGGGTACAGTTGTTCCACAGCGTTAACAGATCTTGTGGATGATGTTATCAGAGAACAGGATGCGGGAAATGCTACTGTCTTGGTGTTATTGGACTACACGAAAGCATTTGACATAATTAATCATGTGGCTATTCTGAAATATACTGGATTAGAGCAGCCGGCCTATGCATTAATAAATTCTTTTTATCTGAAAGAATGCAGCTCGTGACTTTGGACGGGACCATATCAGATACAGTTACAATTACATCAGGGGTGCCCCATGTCAGTATTTTGGGTTCATTTCTGTATAGCCTATATACTTTTAATTTCATGAAGTCGCTAAGTTATTGTCAATATCATCTTTATGCTGGCGACACTCAAATGTATGCCTCTTTACCTGATCTGCCAGAACTTATAACAAACCGACTGAATACCGACTTGAATAGCCTTCTCAAAACCTCTGAAGATCACGTGTTAAAGATAAACCCTAGTAAATCGACGGCTATATTGTTTTGTACTGATTCCTACAGAAACATATTAGAAAATAATATTAAGCTCAAACTAGGGGACAATATAATATCATTTAGGGATTCCGTGAAGGATTTTGGCTTAGTGGTTGACTCTAAACTTAAGTTTAGAGAGCACATTATTCTGTGCCTAAGAAAAGCATATTCAATGCTAACAGTAATAAGTAGTTCGATTTTTTGTATGCATGAAACTCCAAAAATGTTTAGGATCTTGAGAAATGGAAATCTCAACATTACGTGTATAATTTTTATAGGCCACAGATATTTGACGCTTTACCTCTGATCTAAGACGTTTGTACTGTTCATGTAGATCATTGATTCCCAAAGTGGTCTATATCGACCCCTAGGGGTCTATAACAATCTGCAAGGGGTCTACGTCAGCGAAAAAAAATTTGGGGGTCCATGAAATGAATATGGGGGTCCAAGATAGTGGATCTCAACACATACACTGATAGTACCTATTTACTTACATCATACTATCTTATAATATCAAAACATATACATTATTTATAAAAGTACCTATGAAGTAAAAAATGTATTATATATGTTTATAAAATTGTGTAAGTTGTAGGATGTTGGTATTCGCTTTGTGGTCGCAATACATTTTGAACTTGTAAAAACCTGAGAGTCGCAGTCTCAGAGCTTCGCTACCTTGCACTGACTTGTTCAATTCGTCACTCTATACATACGAATGTGGGACAAATACATTTATTCGTTTCCTGAGTCTTGAAAAGGAAAGTGCTAAAGAAAAATTTAAAAAAATATAAACAGATAGTATATCACACAAGTTATAGTGAGTCAATGTTATTTTGTTTGAGAGTGCTGGAGAAAAGTAGGTACATTATTTTTTATTAAATTTTAGTTTTGTACTCGTAGTTAGCAAAGATAGATAAATTACGCCAATCATGACTTTAGTTATTAGCAGTTAAATATTCAATCATGTAAAATTACACGAGTAACCCTCAATAGTTTCTTTTTGAAAGTTTTAGCAATCTGTAATATAATTACAGTGCAATCTCCGTAATTCGAGCTAATTGTTGCAAGATGTTCGAATTATGGAATGTTTTCGGAAAAATCAAAAAATATTTTTAATATACAGCTGCTGCATTTTCTGCCGCTATGAAACCATCTAAACTGCAAGATCATCTGAGAAGATACCACCCTGATAAAACAGAGAAAGATTTGAAATACTTTCAAACACTCAAAGATAAATTTCAGAAGAGACCTACACTGGACAGAATGTTCGCTTCGACGTCACAAAGAAATGATGATGGTTTGCGGGCGTCTTACAATATCTCGTTACTTATAGCAAAATCCGGAAAACCGCATAATATCGGAGAGAAGTTAATTTTGCCAGCCGTTGAAGAGGTATTAAAAACTGTTTTACACAAACCTGCATCTGATATCATTAAAAGAATTTCCTTAAGCAACAATACTGTTGAAAGACGTATTGATGAAATGAGTTCTGATATTGAAAGCTTCTTATGTAATTATTTGCAAACGACCCATTTCTCTCTACAACTGGACGAGTCAACTTTACCTGATAATGCAGCATTATTATTGGCATATGTTCGTTTTATTATGAATCAAGAAATCTACGAAGAACTGCTCTTCGCAAGAACTTTGATAACCGACACTAAAGGTGAATCAATATTTCATGTTTTGAAGGATTACTTCATTGAAAAAGCAATTCCTGTATCAAATATCATATCAGTAGCTACAGATGGAGCACCTGCCATGGTTGGACGTTATCGTGGATTTATAAACTATTTAAAACAAAATGTGTCAGGGGTGTTAGCAATACATTGCGTCATCCATCGACAACATTTAGTTGCTAAAAATTTGAGTGTTAGATTGCATGAATCACTTCATTTAGTCATTGATGCAGTAAACCGAATCCGAGGCAACGCGTTGAATACCCGGTTATTTGCGCAGTTGTGTGAAGAAAATGACGAACACTTTCATCAATTACTCCTTCACACTGAAGTACGCTGGCTGTCGAAAGGCTTATGTTTGACAAGATTTTTTGCACTTTTTCAGACTATTTTAGAATTTCTGGATACTAAAGATAAAATTTTAAAAGAAAATTTAATGAAGCGGAAAACAGACATCGCCTATTTAGCAGATTTGTTTACAAAATTTAATATGGTTAATTTGCAATTACAAGGTCTACAGTTTAAATTTGATTAAAACAAAGTCCATCTTATCAGCGTTTCTTGCCAGAGTTAAACTAATGAAGCAAAATATTGCACGGGGCGAATTTTCTCAGTTCCCCAATTTGTCACAGACAAGCTGCTACTAAGACGACGTTTCAACTTACGTTCAACATTCAAATGCCCTCTATTCAGATTTTGAATCTAGGTTTGAGGATATTTTGACTATGGTAATACCACCGTGGATAATTAATCAACATGGTGACATAGAAGAAACGAATGTCATAATACAAGAGGAACTAACTGAACTAAGTACAAACGAAGAACTTAAGGTTCAGTTTAAAAACGGATATCAGCAATTCTGGCTGCAAAACAACATTCCCGTTACTTATCCCGTATTATGGAATATAGCGAGGAAATTCGTAATTTCCTTTCCATCGTCATACCTAGTGGAAAGGGGGTTCAGCGCTGTTACCAATCTCCTAACGAAAAAAAGAAACAGACTGGACATCATTAGCCGAGGATATTTTTGATTAACCCTCACAAAATGGACGTCAAATGTTGATAATTTATTATTAAAGCATCAGGTTCATCCTTGTCACTAAAAATATTGACTTATTGCTTATGTTATTTTATTTATAGTTTATTTTATGTTTATTGGTGTCTGACCAATAAATGCCCGCATTGGGAATAAGTGCCCGCATTGATTTTTTTAAAGAACCCCCCTTTATAGTAAATATTTTTTTTAAAAATTATTCTGAAAATTCAAGGATAAGTACACACTAAAATTCGTTAATTTTTTGCCTAGTTTTAGATAACTTAAACGTATAAGAAGCGGAATTTAATCAAACTAACAGTGAAATTATTGTAGAACATACGTTTATGTTATAATTAATAAACGAACTCGCTTATTGTACTATTTTAGGTAAAAAACTTTTTTTTTATTATTTTTCACTTTTTTTTATTCTATCCCACTTATTTTTCCCAATGCGGGCACTTATTCCCAATGCGGGCACTTATTGGTCAGACACCTGTTTATTTAATGTTACGTATATTTTACATAACAGATACAAAATTTTATTTTGAGTAGTTTTAATTTAAATTCAATTAATAAATGTATAAGTTAACATGTGTTTTTACTTTAAGTTTTTAACACTAAACTTCACTACAGTTAGAAATTTACAGGAAATCAATATCAGGTAAGTAGGGGGTCTACCAAACACGGGAAAACATGGCAAGGGGTCTACGACACAAAAAAGTTTGGGGAATTCTGATGTAGATGGTTATTGTGACCCTTTTTGTAATTCTTGTATAACTTTGCTTTATGCTTGACTTTCCTAATAATTTCGCTGGTGTAGCACGAAGGGTCTAAAGTGAACTTACCTAATCACGATTCGATTTCGCCTTTTGAAACGATATGACTCATGCCATTTCTACGAAACCTCCAACGAAAGCGTAGAAAGTATAGAGTCAATCTTCTTGACATTTCTATGGGAGGAAAATAATCCCTTCAAACTTTTCTTTCGAAATATATGATGGCGAGTTGCTTTTCCAAAATAGTTTTAGTGTAATGGGTATTTGTATTCTATAGTTTCTTCTCTTAATAATAACAGATACAGGTCCCAATCCTTCATTCACTCGAAAGAAGGCAGAGATTATCGCTCGGTGCCATATTTCTTCGTTAAACGTATACTGCGACTTTTGAGAGTTTTATCTAATTTTAAAATCTAGATATACGCTCACATTTGAGGAAAAGACCCCTATTCCCGTCTATTTATAAAGAGGGGGATCTTAAATTTATTCCTTTTTAAAAGGTTAATTATTAGACCCATATGTCCAAATACCTTTTTGATGCATCTTAGTAATATTTCAGTTAGTGCCATTGGCAGTGGCGCGGATTCAGGTATCACGGACGAAAAATGGAAAATATGAGGTTCGTAAGAACATCGCCTCACCAGTGATCGCAGAGACTGACAGTACAAGAACAAGCTAAACAACTAATTTCACATGCTGCTTACAAGAACAATAAAATGACATCTTTAGCTATTATACCGAGTGCGCCATCTTTTATGTCGGTATTGAAACATCGAATGACTTTGATATTTACCAACCGAGTGATATGGTTATAATGGGTGATTTTTTTGCTAGTATCTTTTTGGCAACACTGTTTTTGACAGATGACGCGTGAATCGTGGCTTGTGTCATTGTCAAACTTGTTCAGTTTGGTCTATAATTTAACCATGAATCGACTTACGAACGAAAAACGCTTGCAAATTATTGAATTTTACTATCAAAATTCATGCTCGGTTAAGAGAGTGCATCGAGCACTGCTTCCAATTTATGGGCAATTTGGTCCGCCTACTGAGGGAGCTATTCGGAAGCTTGTGACTAAATATCGAACCCAGTTTACATTATTGGACATTAAACCACCAACACGCAGACGTAGAGTGAGGACTGAAGAAAATATTGCGGCTGTATCCGCCAGTGTTAGTGATGACCGTGAAATGTCGATTCGCCGCCATTCGCAGAAATTGGGCCTCTGTTACTCCACTACGTGGACAATTTTGCGACAGGATTTGGGTGTAAAACCTTATAAGATACAGCTGGTGCAAGAATTAAAGCCACACGACGTCCCACAACGTTTCCAATTTGGTGAATGGGCGCTGGCAAAGTTGGAGGAAGATCCACATTTTTATCGAAAAATTGTGTTCAGCGACGAAGCTCATTTCTGGTTGAATGGGTACGTTAACAAGCAAAATCTGCCCCAACATAGTTTGCATTAACGTTATAGCCATCAATTTCCATTGAACTCCATACTTCAGCTAATACATTTCCTGCAAATTCGAAATTAGATCTTTCTAAATGTTCATCAATTGTAACGCCACGTTCATCCAAATGAGACCCAAAATAATCATGAGGCAATATTAAACCAGACAGTTCCCGACCAAGAGGAGCCATTCTGCGCTCTACTCTGTTATACGCACTTCTTCCAGCAGCATTGGTAGCTAAAAACAATGCATCGAGATCACGTCGCTCGAAGTGTTGTATAGCAAACCCTATGACTTTTTGATAACGTGGATTTACATCTGGCCCTCCATCAACCGTCATGATTACCACTGGTTTTACTAGTCCATGGTCAGTTTTAGCTAACGGTCAAAACTCTTCAAGTTCGAGAAGCGTCTCGAAATCCTGAGCATGAGTATTAGCAGTAGATGAACTATGCTTTCCACTTCGAATAGCGATGTATGTTGGTCCAGAATATCCAACGGCTTGCGGTTGTCCTAGCATATTGGAAGTGATATTGATACCAGCATAAACAGATGGTATCAATTTATGACGCTAGGCGATTACCCAATCGTGATCAGGCAATTTGCTTCTATATTCCATGTGCATTAGAAGAGGTACTTGCTTATTTTCCGCAGTTACATCAATAGGGACTCGAGCAGTATCATCTTGAGATATGAAAACTACTTGATCCGGTCCAAGTATGGATGCTATGTTCTCTGAATAATGGATTGATGTTTCAGCGAACTTGCTATCTAAGTGGCTCTTGTGGTGATCAGTTTGAAACCGAATAAGCTTAACAGGGACTGTCGATACATGTCTTCGTCCCTCTGCAGAATTAGATTTTCTGGGAATCAAAAGATGATATGTCCCACTGCGACTAATGTCAAATCCTATTTTACGTAATTCTTGTGTGAGTTCATAAAGAGTTTTTACGCTGCGAATTGATTCCGTTCGTCTTCTATCATCTGCTGCACTCCCAAATAAAGCTATATCCGCGATTGTTTTCAATAGTGAATGTTGATTGCTTTCAAGATTAGGACGTCCCACCGTATCCCTCAGAGATAGTCTTTTTTTATTTCTGGATTTTCATGACAAATACCTTCTAACTTTCTTTAGGTTTACAGGTTGCCTAAAAATAAAAACTTTCTATGGCTTCTGCTAAAGATTCTCTTATTAAGCTACATAAATACAAAGTATGGCAATATATATGGTAAATACAAAATCCTATGGCTTTAAATCTAATATGTTTAAACGAGCAATTCGTTCCAGTCACAAAATAGAGGGTGTTACTTTTCTGTATATACTCGTATGTATAAAACTAACATCCTGTACTTTGTGACCAATTGACGGAATCAATCATAAGAAATAAATCTATAATATAATATAAAAACTTTTTGGCGATTTCTAATATTTCTAGTACTCATAGGTACCTAAAATGATTTTGGTCACTCACCTTAGAAAAAAAATTTAGTGGATTGAATTTATTCTTATTAGCCGCTTGCAATTCTTCTTCGATTGTCTTAGATACAATAATATCTAGTTCCTTGTCGGATTTGGCTTGTAATTTGTAATTTCGCCACACTTCGTTAACTAATTTTTGTACATTTTGTACTTTCGTACTTGTATGATATTTTTTAATACTTTCAAACACTTTTTGGTATAACTTGGATTTGTCTATGTGAAACGACATCTTATTTAAACATTAAACTTTGGCTAATGGAATCAATGGTAACACAAATGTTAACTTGCTTTACTATGCTTACAATACGTCCACTCGCTATAGTATCCAAATCAAACAATACACTGATAGAGGAAATTTAGGCAAGTGAACACCGCGCGGTAATTCCCCTACTCGGTTCTAAAGCGAGTAGGAGAATTACCGCGCGCTGTTCACTAAACGTATGCATTATTTGCGGGAATCCCCGAAAATGCATTTCGTTTTCAAGCAAAGACAATGTGAGAGTTGCCATTCGTGTAAAAAAGTAAATAACTACCGATGACGTAATCATCATCTAGACTCCCCTACCCCCATGTCATCCAAAATAAGCAAAGCAAAGATACCCCCGCCCCCCCATAGTGCTCACGTAATACTTGAACGGCCCCTCTAGAACGACTGGGGTTTTTCTAGATTTCTACTGTTCCATGTCATCGTCAATGCTCTACTATTGTGAGGCTATGTTTTGTTGTCAAGCTGATAAAATAGACGATTTAAGTTAAAAGCATGAACAATTTGATCCTCAAAGTAGAACGCTGACACGAACAGTAGAAGACTATAAAAATCGAGGAGGCCATAAAGGCGTCCTACAATTGTAGGAACGACTGACTATACGGCCCTCAATACAGAAAATCACAAAATGGTTTCCCAAAATTGCTAAGATCTTTTCGGCGCCCATGTGAAGCAGATCCATTAGTCTTTCCATGTCAATAGACAGACTGCATCTATTCCAGAAATTGATTTCGCGGGCCGGAGCCGAAACATCCCTTATCTCGTTCCGTTTGTGCCCAAAATAACCTCGGTCGCCGCCATTTCTATCATTCCTGACGTGTGCTGCCGATCAGTTCACAGATGTGCCCTTTACCCGATTTTAATGTTTTCTTCGGAAGCGCGTGCTATTTCAGGATATGCGGCAATTTATGGTTATTTTACCAGAAGGGTTGATACCTACGGGAATCTGAACGATTCGAAAAGTTATACATCCTGCGGGATTATTGAGATATGGACGTAGGATCTTTATGGCATTTAAAAATAACATAAGAGCTGTTTTAGGTCTGTAAGATGGAAAACGGGATTAAAAGTCAATTATACTGAGTGAGAAAAGATGGATTTTTCCAAGAAAAGTGTAAGTGATAGCACTAAAAAATCCATTGAGCTGCCATGAAACTTCTTCAGTCCTCGTTGAAATCAGTAATGTCAGTATACTAAGACAATCCCATAAACTGCTGCATCGACTTGATGAAATTTAGAAGATACTGAGAGGTATGAGTAAAAAAGGCGTCAAGTAGGTTGACTGCACTTCTTGCAGGACGCTGTTATCAGTTCATAAAGGATCATGTTCGGCACTCAGAGGGAAAAGTTAATAACAACAAAAAGATTAAATGGATCGAGTCAGCCAAACTAGCACATACAATTAAAAATGTCATATTTAACATGCTTTTCTGTACAATTTTGAGACAATATGGCGTCCATAAGGAAAACTAACGTTTATTCTGGAGGACAATAGACGAGACGTCATATTGAAATTCTGATTATACCATCTTATAAATGATAAACAGTAGCAACATTAATGTGCGATTTATTTCAAAATTCCACTACAAATAAAGTCAGGGAAAAGTTAAAACAATTTTGTAAAAATTCTGTTTCTTCCGTATCTCTCCAAAACCGCTTTGAATTTCGAAACTTTCTAAGCGGAGTTTTGTTTGTTACCTAATTACCCCAATTCGCCACAGTTAAGCGACTTTGTCTTCCTTACCGGTACTGATCTCAATGATGAGGACATAATTTGGAGCACCCGGTATAGCTGTTGCTTAATCGTAAGCGATTAGATGTTACGGAAACGCTCAGCTTTGACAGCTTGTCAGGTTTATGAGCCTTTCCCGATTTTTCAATTCATTTATATCAATTCCACCACCCGGAATTTCGACTTGCTAGCCATTCCTTTCAAAAAGATATACGAGCCCCTTCCCACTTCAGTTGGCCCACTTCAAGATTTGTACCAAAATATGCTTTTATAAACTAAACATGACGAAACTATTTACTTCTAAAACAATTTATTTTCTCAAACACATTTTAGATACACTCTAGTCGTAAAAAATACATATTTGAAATCACTTAGACTTATAACTAGTAGAACATCTGAACAAATAAACAATGTGCGAATAAATGCGCCAAGTTAACAAAGCAACAATTGAAAGATTACCATTGGGTAACTTCACCTTTATTCCTTATTGCGGCTGAAATTCTTTGGGGCATAGTGTTAACCAAGTTTTGGCAACAACTTGGTGTAAAACAATCCCATATTTCTTGAAGCTTTTGTCTCAGTTTGGTGATTGTACGAGCAGGATGTTGTCGTAGAACCTTTTTCATCTCGTGCCACAAAGTTTCAATAGGTGACAGATCTGGACTGCTAGAAACCCATTTCAAAAATGGTACATTATTTTCTTCCATCCATTTTATAGCCTTTTTTGAGGTATGGCACGCTGCACCAT